CCCAGCCAGATACTAGTATTTCTAGTTGTCTCTTTTTCATTATCTTGGAGCTTTTTGCACTCTAGTTTCAAAATGGATGAAAATATGCCTTTCTTTTATAAAGTGGGACAAGGGCGGTTGTGAAAGGGGGGAGATGGAAAAAAGCCTTGATGGCCAGAGGTACATTCTTATGAAGATCAATTTTTAGAAAAACTATATGTGGAACTGAGTATCTAGAATTTAATTCTCTCTTGACTGACCTTTCTCAGTGTACTCCTTGACAGTGTTCCTAACCCCCACGGGTATGCTTGTCCCAACTGAAGGCCACTGGTATAATGTGCTCTTTGAAGTAATTGGTTGGTAGACAGCTTGTGCTTATCCACTTCCCAGATTTGATTGGGAATGTAAAACCACCTTTCTAAAACCAGTGGTCCAGTTTAAGTAGCTACCTTAGGGTGAAGTGAAATGTAGGGAATGAGTCTAGTTCTTTCTTGATGGTGGTAATCTCCTCTTATTTCTGCATTTATTGAGGTATAGGATTCTTTGCTCTCATGTGACTTAAAATCAGCAGCAGGAAATATTCTTGTTCCCAGATCAATAATTAAGCTTCAGGAAAATACCTTGCTTTCTGAGATCTTTCTGGCCTAAAATATCCTTGCAGCTGCTGTTGGGTTCCAAACAGATGGATGAGGAAAAAGGGTTAGGCCAGATTAACATGAGGCAGTTTTGGGAAAAGACAAACCCTTCTTTTATATGTCTGTGTCCGCAGGTGACATGTACAGCCATGATGGGAATACTGATGAGCCAGAATGGGTAAAGACAGAGCGAGAGCAGTTTGTTGAGTTTCGGGATAAGAACCGTGATGGGAAGATGGACAAGGAAGAGACCAAAGACTGGATCCTTCCCTCAGACTATGATCATGCAGAAGCAGAAGCCAGGCACCTGGTCTATGAATCAGACCAAAACAAGGTAAGTCTGGCCAGGCCCACACTTACTATCCTGGATTGAAGTCTGCTTTTAGGGGATCACCTAAACAGTTTCTGTTAAGGTGCATACAGCATTTAAAGTATTAATTCATCTAAGCTAAGCATCTGAATTTGGAGATTAAAACCTTTCAGGGCAGCACTAGCTATCTGATCTCATTTTAGAAATCCCTTTGCCCAGTGCTTATAGCATTGTAGGAAATTTGGCATCAGAAAAGAGCCTCTCTGTTTAGCCTGTACCCAACATGCATCATCTGGTATTTTTAGATCCCCGGGAATTTTTTTTTTTTTTTTTTTTGCTTTGTTACTTTATTTGTTTCTTTTCCTGTTACAGGCCCATTCTGCCTACTTAAAGCTAGTTGTTTCCTTCTTAAATCAAGTATGCTTTTTTTTTTAATTGGGTCCTTTGTGTAGGTTATAAATTAGCTTTCCTCTGGAGCCTGTTCAAATTGTCCTTGATCATTTATCTTAGGTATTTTGGTGTCATTATCCCTAAGCCCGGTCATCTGTTTCAGAGATTTGAATGCCCTGCTTGGAGTAAGCTGAAAACCAGCCTAAAGATGGAGATTTTTAGTGTTCTGAGTATATTTTTATCTAGGCTAATCTTCAGTTTCAAATTTAGTTTTTTAACTGTTGATCTGCTTTGAGTTCTTGCTTAAAGTCACTTTAATAGCCAGGGGTTGTGTCCTGAGATATGTGAGAAAAGAAGATGCATGTAGTCATCCCTATCTGGGAGACGTTCTATATTTTCCTCTAAAAGGAGAGTTTTCTTCTCATGAAACAAACCTTTATTAACTAGCATTGAGTTGTTGGGTTATATTATTTCCACCCTTCCACTCTTAACTTTCTTGATAAAAGAAATATGTAATTGGCCCGGCACGGTGGCTCACACCTGTCATCCCAGTATTTTGGGAGGCCAAGGTGGGCAGATCACCTGAGGTTGGGAGTTTGAGACCAACCTGGCCAACATGGTGAAACCCTGTCTCTACTAAAATACAAAAATTAGCTGGGCATGGTGGCACATGCCTGTAATCCCAGCTACTCGGGAGGCTGAGGCAGGAGAGTTACTTAAAACTGGGAGGCGGAGGTTGCGGTGAGCCGAGATCGCGCCATTGCACTCCAGCCTGGGTAACAAGAGCAAAACTCCGTCTCAAAAAAATAAATAGATAAATAAAAGAAAAATGTGTAATTGCTGTTTTCTTCCCTCTTTGTATGTATATAAGGGGAATGAGAGCTGAGTCACACTTAATTTAGTAGGAATGAGAATCTTAACTCCTGATTAACCCCTATTTTTCAATAACAGTGTTTCTGAATTTTTAATGGGAAATATCTTCTGCTTCAATTCATTGCTATCTCTAATTTCAGGACGGCAAACTTACCAAGGAGGAGATTGTTGACAAGTATGACTTATTTGTTGGCAGCCAGGCCACAGATTTTGGGGAGGCCTTAGTACGGCATGATGAGTTCTGAGCTACAGAGGAACCCTCATTTCCTCAAAAGTAATTTATTTTTACAGCTTCTGGTTTCACATGGAATTGTTTGCGCTACTGAGACTGTTATTACAAACTTTTTAAGACGTGAAAAGGCGTAATGAAAACCATCCCGTCCCCATTTCTCCTCCTCTCTGAGGGACTGGAGGGAAGCCGTGCTTCTGAGGAACAACTCTAATTAGTACACTTGTGTTTGTAGATTTATACTTTGTATTATGTATAACATGGCGTGTTTATTTTTGTATTTGTTCTCTGGTTGGGAGTATGATATGAAGGATCAAGATCCTCAACTCACACATGTAGACAAACAGCTCTTTACTCTTTCTCAACCCCTTATATGATTTTTATAATTCTCACTTAACTAATTTTGTAAGCCTGAGATCAATAAGAGATGTTCAGGAGAGAGGAAAGGGAAAAAAATATGTACTCCACAATTTATATTTAGAGAGAGAACACTTAGTCTTGCCTATCAAAAAGTCTAAAATGTCACAGGTAGTAGGGGCCACATATTACATTCAGTTGCTACATGTCCAGCAACTGATCCTGCCATTAATTGGGCAAGGAAAGATCCCTTTGATGTAAGAAAGCTTGGCCCAAATTGATTTTCTTCTTTTTCCCCCATAGGACTGGCTGTTGGCTAATTTCGTCAAGCACAGCTGTGGCGGGAAGAGTTATGGCCAGTGTCTTGAAAATCAAGTAGTGAATGTGGTCTCTTTACAGAGCTATAGATAGAAACAGCTGGAAAACTAAAGGAAAAATACAAGTGTTTTCAGGGCATACATTTTTTTCTGGGTGTGCATCTGTTGAAATGCTTATGACTTGATTAATTGCCTGTTGAAATCACTGTAAATGCCCCCATCTAGTTCCTCTTCTTCCCCAGGTATGCCAAGGAATTAATCTTGGTTTCACTACAATTAAAATTCACTCCTTTCCAATCATGTCATTGAAAGTGCCTTTAACGAGAGACATGGTCACTGAATGGGAATTCTCTTAAGAAACCCTAAGATTAAAAAAAGATTATTGGGATAACTTATAGGAAAGCCTAGAACCTCCCAATATAGTGGAAATTTTTTTCTTCTTTCCTTTCTCTTTTGGACAATAGTTAAATTAGCAGTATTAGTTATGAGTTTGGTTGCAGTGTTCTTATCTTGTGGGCTGATTCCAAAAACCACATGCTGCTGAATTTACTAGAGATCCTCATACCTCACAATGCAAACCACTTACTACCAGGCCTCTTTCTGTGTCCTCTGGAGAGCTTGAGCTCACACTCAAAGATGAGAGGACCTACAGAGAGGGCTCTTTGGTTTGAGGACCATAGCTCACCTTTCCTGCCTTTGACCCATCACACCCCATTCCTTCCTTTTTCCCTCTCCCCGCTGCCAAAAAAAAAAAGGAAAAAAGTTTATAATGGATCAACAGATTTTTAGTCCTTATCAAAGAGAGAGCTGTGGAAAGAGCTAAAGAAACCACCCTCTGTTCCCAACTCCACTTACCCATATTTTATGCAACACAAACACTGTCCTTTTGGGTCCCTTTCTTACAGATGGACCTCTTGAGAAGAATTATTGTATTCCACGTTTTTAGCCCTCAGGTTACCAAGATAAATATATGTATATATAACCTTTATTATTTGCTATATCTTTGTGGATAATACATTCAGGTGGTGCTGGGTGATTTATTATAATCTGAACCTAGGTATATCCTTTGGTCTTCCACAGTCATGTTGAGGTGGGCTCCCTGGTATAGTAAAAAGCCAGGTATCATGTAACTTCACCCCAGCCTTTGTACTGAGCTCTTGATAGTGGATATACTTTTAAGTTTAGCCCCAATATAGGGTAATGGAAATGTCCTGCCCTCTGGATTATCCATTTTTTCTGTTAAGAAGACCAGTGATAATTTAATAATGCCACCAACTCTGGCTTAGTTTTGTGAACTGTGTGGCAAGAGAGCCTCACACCTCACTAGGTGCAGAGAGCCCAGGCCTTATGTTAAAATCATGCACTTGAAAAGCAAACCTTAATCTGCTAAGATAGCAACTTCTGCATGCTGAAGACTCAGCAGCAAGCATTGTATGCTAATCTTGAATGATCCCCTTGGATTATTTTTTTGGTTTAAATCAAGCCTGAGGCTGGTGAACAGTAGCTACACACCCATATGTGTGTTCTGTGAATGCTAGCTCTCTTGAATTTGGATATTGGTTATTTTTTATAGAGTGTAAACCAAGTTTTATATTCTACAATGCAAACAGGTACCTATCTGTTTCTAAATAAAACTGTTTACATTCATTGTGGGGTATGTATGACCTTCATTTTGTAAGAAATACAACCCTAGCTTAGAATTATGGATCCTATAAAATGTCAGAAAAGGAACTCTGCTATAAGTTCTCCCAAACTCAGAGAAAGCACTACCTTCTCCTAAATGGTTATTTTCTCCGTATTTTCTGGCATCCTTCTCACCACAGCCACAACCCTTTCTTACTTCCCTTAGGCTGTATAACTGGAGAGACCAGCTGCTCATTATATAATTATCTGATACCAAGCACAAGCGATTCTGAATGTACACACACGTTTACCTTGATTTTTATTTCAAAAAGGTTCTTTTTTGGGGGCCTGGAGGGAGAGTAGAGCATAAGGTAAAACAATTTTGTTTAACATTTTTGTACTGTTTACAAATGGTATTAAGATATGCAAATTCATTTTGAGAACCCCAAGAGCATTAAAACAGTTTAGTAAATACACAGTTTAAGACAAATATAAAGGTCTACGGGGAAGAAGCCTCTGGAATAATTTGTGCTTGCTCAGGGGCTTGTGGACACGGCTGTTCCTGCCAAAGCTGTAGCAGTTACCCAGAAGTTCTTTTAAACTCTTGGAGCCACTAAGGTTTTTTTTTCTTTTTTTCTTTTTTGAGATAGTCTTGCTCTGTGTCGCCAGGTTGGAGTGCAGTGGCGCGATCTCAGCTCACCAAAACCTCCAACTCCCTGGTTCAAGCGATTCTCCTGCTTCAGCCTCCCGAGTAGCTGGGATTACAGGCATGTGCCACTACACCCAGCTAATTTTTTATTTTTAGTAGAGACTGGGTTTCACTCTGTTGGCCAGGATGGTCTTGGTCTCCTGACCTCATGATCTGCCTGCCTCAGCCTCCCAAAGTTGTCTCTCCCATTTCTAAGGTGTTTTCTTAAGTTTGTTCTAGTTCAGCATACATCATCTCAGAATGGATCCGCAACAGGAAAAAAAAAATAGTTTCTAAAAAGGAAAGTATCCATACACTGAAAACTTAAAGCCATATTCCTTTATAGTTGCCTCGTATGTAGAAATCAGTTCCCCAAGTGCTGTGAATGGTGCCATGTAGGAGTAGAAACTGATAATTGTTGAAATGGCCTTTCGGTGGTCTGAAATAGACCCAGTGGAAACAGTAGCTTTGTAGGCAAGAAGGGAATAGAAAGAAAATGAAAAATTGACTCCCCAAACTGCCATCACTCCTTACCACCTTTTTTGTGGTTTTAGTAGTTTGGTTTCTGATGGAGACAATAGAAACTTACTTAAACGTAAAATTTAATTCTAGTTGCTGCAAACAGGCCGATATTGGGTCCTCAGTTGGGGCCAACTTGGCTAGACGAGACAGTAGAAACTTCTGTTTTCTGGGAGCTGCTTATGTCGGATTCGTCTGTCATGGCCTTCCCACACACCATCTCCATGATGCAAGCTCGGAACTGGAGAGAAAGGCACATTGGAGATAACCTTGGCAGACAAGGAAGTATGGGGAAAAAAAACCCCCCATTCTCTGTATCATCAAAGGCTTATAGGATGCTTTGTGCCCAGAATGTCCTTAGGCCTTAGGTGGTTTCGAATATACTTTCCCCATCCTGAAAACTAGCTAGACTCCTGGTCTACAATAATCCTAAATGTCCTGGTCAGGTCTGAGACCTCACTGTTGTTAAACTTCATAAACCATCCTGCTTCATAAAAGCGCTGTCATCAGAGGCCCCTTCATAACTAGCAGGTGCTTCCAGCTGGAAAGGACTGCCAATTCTGTTCTCTCCTGGGAGGTTTCAAAAGTAGTTTCATCTCCCTCTGGAATTGCCAAAACACCACCGTCTGAAAGTAGGGTTCTTGCCACTTAGGGTTTGGGGTTTATTAGCTCGGATTTTAGATAGGGGATAGGAAATACCCCGATACCTTCAGAGGATAAGATATGTTAGAGATTTATGCATGTGGTGTGATTTCTGTGCTTCACACATGCTCGTGCAAGCTAAAAGTTGTCAGGGAAATGATGAAGAACTCATTAAATGCAAGGACTGGCAATTCAGAGGAATTTGAGTTTTACTTTTATTTATGTTTCGGGATACATGTGCAGGTTTGTTACACAGGTAAACGTGCCATGGTGGTTTGCTGCACGAATTTTTCAATAAAACGTTTTCACTCACCCTGTTCTGTGGAGCAACTTCATTTTCATGACTCAAGTTCTTTCCTCCCAGGGTTCTATTTTCTGGTCTTGATAACTGTGCCTTCCTCCCTGTGCTTACCAAGGGCTTCCCAACCTACTTGGGGTTTCTGTGGCTTCCCTTGTCTACTCCCAGAAACCCGAATTGGGTTGATGGTGCTCCGAGTTAAAAGTCAATGGTAAAAAATAAATAGATAAACAAACAAACAAACAAACAAATAAATAAAAAGTCAATGGTGAGAAAAGAGCCCAGGTCTTCTGGACCATAGCAATGTGAATAGAAAGCTTTACCTGCTTATTCATGAAGCTGTAGATGATGGGATTGTAGATGCAAGAACTCTTGGAGAAGAACGCAGGAATGGTGACAAGCCGTAAGTCTAGCCCATGGTTACGGTTATTGACCATGTACATGGCCAGGGCTGCGTAGGGCACGTAGCAGACACAGAAGGATCCTACCATCACAACCACCATGCGGCTCACCTCCCGTTCAGCCTTCTGGGTTGTAGCTGACTCCTGCTGCTGAGCTGCAACCTGGGGTGGAGTACGGAGAGCATCACATCCCTCTTCTTCCTGGCCCTCAACTCCCAGATCTCTAGATTTTTTTTTTTTTTTTTAGACAGTCTTGTTCTGTTGCCCAGGCTGGAGTGCAGTGGTGCGATCTGGGTTCACTGGACCTCCGCTTCCCAGGTTCAAGTGATTCTCCTGCCTCAGCCTCCTGAGTAGCTGGGATTACAAGTGTCTGCCACCATGCCCAGCTAATTTGCGTTTTCAGTAGAGACTGGGTTTCACCATATAGGCCAGGTTGGTCTCGGACTACTGACCTCAGGTGATCCGCTCGCCTCGGCCTCCTAAAGTGCTGGGATTACAGGTGTGAACCACTGCACGCAGCCTCTGGACGATTTTCTGTGGGATGGGGGAGGGGGCATCCACTCTGATTGTCTCTTTTCTGTCGCGTCTCCTGGCTTAGTACCTTTCTATCTCCATCATTCTCCCTTCCACTGCTTTGCTGCTTTTAGATACCCTCTCTGGCTACGGACGTTTCCAGTCATCTTACGTACCAGAGCACTCTCTTCTCATGTGGAGCCCCGAACCCATTCCTCCCTGACTCTCAAATGCCACTCACAGCTTTCAGGGCCCTCAGCAGCTGAGCATAGGAGAAGCAGATGAGGGCGAGAGGCACGATGAAGCAGAAGATGAAGAGGAACCACGTATAGTACTCGCTACGATATTTGGTGCCCACGGTGTACCAGTCAGGACCACATGAACACTGCAGACCCTCAGCGATGTACCTGCAAAGGACCAAACAGTTGCTCACTGGGCTCTCCCCAAGAGTTAGTGCAGTGGGAGCTGAGAGGCCTGGATTGTGTTCTCCACTTAGAACCCAGAGAATGCCCAAAGACTTCAAGTGGGGGGGCAGGGGCTCTGTCCTGACTGAGAGAAGCTACAGCAATTCCAACTGCAGAGTAAACATTAGCACTTGTCTCCCACTGCCCTTTCGCCTCATGTATTGCAACTCTTTAAAAGGTAGAGGTCAAAGACTGAGTGGTTATACCCAAGCTCTCTTTCCACCCACATCAACCTGAGCTCCTAGTTAAGTCAGCACCACTGCCCTGCACTCTCACCGGCTCCAGCCAAAGAAGGGTGGGATGGAGACGCCAATACCAATGGTCCAGGTAGTCAGGACCACCATCAGTGCGTGCTTGGAGCTGAAGCGGAAGTTGCCGAAGGGCTTACAGATGACAATGTAGCGCTCAAAGGCCAGGAAGGCCAGTGACCAGCCTGTCACCAGACCTGTGGCGAAATGTGAGGATAATGGGATAGACAGACCCCCCCACCCAGCCCGGGGGCAGAGTGGCATACAGATTGGGTAGAGCAAGCACAGGGAGACAGAGGGCTGGACTGACGTTGGAGTGAAGACTCAAACATCCTGTTTTGGCCAAACTTCTAGTCTGGGTTGCTTTGTATCCCAGTATTTTAAAAAGCACCAGACTCATTTTGCCAAGACTCCTCTTTAGGGACCCCCTCTAATGGAGTAGCAACCTTTGCCTTCCCCTAATCCCTTTCCCCTGCAATACCTGCTACAGTGCCCAGGAAGCCCTCCAGAGCACAAACATGGCGGCCAAAGACGAAGTATCCATGACAGCTGGCGACGAATACAGGGAAGACGGAGAAGATGCAAAGAAGGAAGCCTCCCACAGACACGTTGACCAGAACGTAGTTGAGGGGATGCCGCAACTTTTTGTAGCGCACTGTGGCCACCAGCACCATGGTATTCAGTGGTAACCCTATAAGGAAGACAATGCCCATGAAAGCTGCCTGGAGGTAGTAGGCCCAGGAAGGGGCAATGTGGGGGTACTGAGGCCCATCCCACGGCCCCACCGAGGAGATGTTCTTGAACAGATAAAACTCCTCTTCCTCTGACATCTTGCTCATGGATACCCCACACCCCTCTGAGTCCTCTTATAGATGATCCACCCCACAAAACCCCTCCTCTAAAAACACTTGGGCTCTGTGAATGATGAACACTAATCCTAAACCTTCTAAGGACAAAGTTTGGGATTAGAAATCCCTAAACCACTGCCGGCTTTTTGTGGTCCCAAAGCCGATTGTGTTCTTCAGAGGATAAAAGATTGGGCTCAAATAATCTGGATATGCAATGTTGGGTGCTGGGATGAACAGAAGTGAACTCCCTGAGGTCTGGGAGGTGCTAGCCCATGTTCATTGAAGATGCTTCCACGTTTTTGCTGTTCTTTTACAATGGGGCTATAGAAAGGGCACTCCTCTGATTTTGGCTTCCGGCACAACTGTGTGAAGTTTTCCTCACCTCATCTGCCTGTTTGTGGAAGGTGCCCATTTTAAATCTCCTGAGAGGCTGGGAAGCAGCCTCGGGCTGCAGGAAGGGGCTGGGAGTGGGGAGTGCCCTGGAAGCAGGTCAGTAAACAGCCTTTATGGAATAGGACATAGGCAACTTGACAATGCCTAGAAATCTAGGGCATCCCTGAGCCACGCTGCCTCTATTTCTTTGTGTTGAATTTACTCAAAGAGTGTACCTTTCCTGCTCAGACCTCCAGCCAGGGAGGTGAGTCTGCTCACTGTCCTCACACCATGTTCATGCCTACCCCTGCCCTTAGCTCAGCAGCAAGTCGCCACAGTCTTCCTCCTGTCTGTTCATCGAAGTCTTACCTAGCCCTCACAGCCTACCTCGCAAAGACCTCTTCTTTGCAGCACCCCGCCGACCAGTGACACCAACTCTGCTCTAAGCTCCACCTGCACTTGTACTCAGTACTACACTTTAGGCTTTGTGAATGAATCTTCTCCACCTCAGCAGATCATAAACCTATAGATGAGTTAAAAGTGACACACTAGGTATAAACAAGTTAAAAGTGAAAGGATGGCCCAGTAATGGCAGAATAGTTTATTAGATGAATGCCCCCTTAGGCAAAAAATTTATAAACTGGGCACAAGAAGAAAAAAACTTTTTGAAAGCACCTAAAATATCCAAAGCAGGCAGAAACTGAAAGGAACTCAACTCTTCAATGAAAAGAACCATCTATGTTGATTTTTTTTTTCCTGAGTGTACTCTCAAGTATAAATGGCACAAGATAGCTAGAACTTGAGCAGAAAGCCCCAGCCTTTTTTGGCTTGAAGAGTCAGAGGACCGAGGACAGTTTGGGACTCCGGAGCAGCTGAAGGTGGAGTTCCTGGAATGAAGGAAGCCACAGAAGGTGAAGCCTTTAAATCTGCATATAAACTCCCCTCAAATAATAGGCTGACTGCTAAGCTGTGGATGGAGGAATTTCCAAGGAGCCCAGCAAAAGGCAACCACCGGAGGTCTGAAACAGCTAAACAAATGTCTACTGTTACCCACTGTAGCAGAGAAAGAGTTTGAATTTGAATCCCAAGTCAGAGGGTCTGGGTAAACACATAGGGCTTTCCACTTAAAAATCCTAAAAGGCTGGCAGGGCGCGGTGGCTCACGCCAGTAATCCCAGCACTTTCGGAGACCGAGGAGAGTGGATCATGAGGTCAAGAGATTGAGACCATCCTGTCCAACGTGGTGAAATCCCATCTTTACTACAAGTACAAAAAATTAGCTGGGCATGGTGGTGCCTGCCTGTAGTCCCAGCTACTCGAAAGGCTGAGGCAGGAGAATTGCTTGAAACTGGAAAACGGAAGTTGCAGTGAGCCGGGGTCGTGCCCCTGCACTCCAGCCTGGTGATAGAGCGAAACTGTCTCCAAAAAAAAAAGAAAAGAAAAGAAAATCCTAAAGGCCACACCATAGAGCTAAAATCTATATCCCAGGACTAAATATTTATTCTGAGACTAAGGGCAAAACCAAAGCTGACTCATACTAGCAAAGGATAAAACCAAGCCTCAGCAAGGTGACCAACTAGTAAGTTAGCTGCCTATTATAACAAAAATCCACACTTCCCAATGGACAATAACCCAGTTTACTATCTAGAATGTCTGATATACAATGACAAATTAAAAGGCATGTGAAAGAAAAAAAACCCCACAGGAAAATGTGATGTATAGCTAAAAGAAAAAGCAGTCAATAGAAACAAAACCTGAGATGACCCAGAAGTTGGCACCAGCAGAAAAAAACTTTAAACAATGATATAAATATAGTCAAGGACTGAAAAGAAAAAGTGATCATCATGACTTAATGGATCTCAAGAATGGGAAAAATAAAAATAAGCAAATGGAAATTCCAGAACTGAAAAGTACAATATGTCCAATAGAAAATTCACTGGAGCCGGGTGCCATGGCTCACGCCTATAATCCCAGCACTTTGGGAGGCCAAGGTGGGTGGATCATGAGGTCAAGAGATTGAGACCATCCTGGTCAACAAGATGAAACCCCTTCTCTACTAAAAATACAAAAATTAGCTGGGCATGGTGGTGCATGCCTATAGTCCCAGCTACTTGGGAGGCTGAGGCAGGAGAATTGCTTGAACCCAGAAGGCGGAGGTTGCGGTGAGCCGAGATCATGCCATTGCACTCCAGTCTGGGTAACAACAGCAAAACTGTGTCTCAAAAAAGAAAGAAAGAAAGAAAATTCACTGGATGGCTTAACAGCAGATTGGATGGCAAAGGAAAGGATCTGTGAACTTACAAATAGATCAATAACAAAAAGATATCTGGAAAATCTCCCAAACACTTATAAATAAGCAATATACATCTAAATACCCTGTGAGTCAAAAGAGAAATCATAAGGAAAATTTGAAAGAATTTGAATTGAATGACAGTAAAAATATATAAATATTAGAAATTGAGGGAAGCAGCTAAAGCAGTACTTAGAGAAAAATTTATAGCTTTAAGTATTTATACTAGAAAATAAATGTTTAAAATTTAAACTTTACCATAAGAAGCTGAAACAGTGAATTAAATCTAAAATAAATAGAGAGGGGGAGATACTAAAAAGCAGAGCAGAAAACAATGAAATTAAAAATGAATAAAGAATGGAGAAAAATCAATGAAACCTGAAGCAAAACCACATAGCTCTCTCCTGTCTCCAGCACGGTGGCTCACGCCTGTAATCCCAGCACTTTGGGAGGCAAAGACAGGTGGATCACCTGAGATCAGGAGGTCACCAACCCGGACAACACGGTGAAATCCCATCTCTACCAAAAAATACAAAAATTAGCCAAGTGTGGTGGTGGGCGCCTGTAATGCCAACTACTTGGGAGGCTGAGGTGGAAGAATCACTTGAACCCAGGAGGTAGAGGTTGCAGTGAGCCGAGATGGTGCCACTGCATTCCAACATGGGCAACAGAGCAAGACTCCATCTCAAAAAGAAAAGAACAGATAAGAAAAAAAGCCAGGCACAGTGGCTCACCCCTGAAATCCCAGCACTTTGGGAGGCTGTAGTGGGTGGATTACAAGGTCAAGAGATGAAGACCATCCTGGCCCACACGATGAAACCCCATCTCTACTAAAAAATACAAAAATCAGCTGGGCATGGTGCCTTTAGTCCCAATTACTCCGGAGGCTGAGACAGGAGAATCACCTGAACCCGGGAGGCAGCGGTTACAGTGAGCCGAGATCATGCCACTGCACTCCAGCCTGGCGACAGAGCAAGACTCCATCTCAAATAAATAAATAAATAAAATATAAAAACTGAAGGCATTCTAGGTGCATTTAGTGTATACAATGCTCTTCCCAGGCTGAAAGTGCCCTTATTAATTTAGAACATGTTCATACGCTAAGGCTTTACAGAAGATCACATGAGCTACACTTAGACCAGGGTTTCTCAACATTGGCACTATTGACATCGCAGATAATTATTTGTCGTGGGGGCTGTCCTGTGCATCATAGGATGTTTAATAGCATCCCTCTCCTCTAGATGCCAAAATCAACACTACCAGCCCAGTCATGATAACCAGAAATGTCTCCAGACATTGCCAAATGCCTACTGAGACAAACCCTTCCCTCCTCACTCCCCTCCCCTCCAGCTAAAATCTAACCTTTGATTCAGATTTAGACTTACAAATGCCCAGAACCCAATGAAATACAATCAAGTGAAAATTTGTTTTTCTATTTGTTCTGATTGTCCAGAAAAAAGGAAAGTCCTACCAAAGTGGATATTTTCTGAATAGTTTCAAGAGGCTGCCTTCCCTCCTTCCTTCTTTCCTTCCTTCCTTCCTTCTTTCCTCCCTCCCTCCCTCCTTTCTTTCCTTCCTTTCTTCCTTCCTCCCTCCTTCCTTTCTTCCTTTCCTTTCCTTTCCTTTCCTTTCTTCCTCCCTCCCTTTCTCTCTCTCTGTCTCTCTTTCGAGACAGAGTCTTGCTCTGGAGTGCCATGGCACGATCTCAGCTCACTGCAACCTCTGCCTCCCAGGTTCAAGCACTTCTCCTGCCTCAGCTTCCTGGGATTACAGGCACGTGCCACCATGCCCAGCTAACTTTTTGTGTTTTTAGTAGAAATGGGATTTTGCCATGTTGGTCAGGGTGGTCTTGAACTCCTGACCTTGTGATTTCTCCACCTCAGCCTCCCAAAGTGCTGGGATTATAGGAATGAGCCACCACGCCTGCCTGCCTTCTTTCTCTTTCTCTCTCTCTCTCTTTCTTTTTCTTCCTTCCTTCCCTACCTTCCTTTCTTCATTTCCTTTCTCTTTCTTGTTTTCTTTCTTTCTCTTTCTCTTTTTCCCTCCCTCCCTACCCCCTCCCTCCCCTTTCCTTCCTTCCTTTCTCTTTCCTTTCTCATTTCTCTTTCCCTTCTTCCTTCCTTTCTTTTCTCTTTTTCTCTTTCTTCCTTTCCTTTCTTTCCTTCTGTTTCTTCCTCGCTTT